ATTTTCAAATTAATTCATGGAGCAAATTATGAACCAAGGCCGCCTAGCTCTCTTGTCTTCCTTGGCCGAAATTCTTAGCTACACTTCATGGTTTTTGAAGCTTGCCTTGCAAGCTTCTAAACCTTAGTAGGTTAAGCCTACCTTACCATGGTTCTTAAGTGAACCATGGTCAAGGTTAGCTTCTCCTACAAGCTTGCTAAACCGTGGGAAGTTAAGCTTACCTTACCATGGTTCCTAGTGAACCATGGTTAAGGTTAGCTTCTCCTAGAAGCTACCTCTCCCTATATATTTGTAATTGCCTCTCATGTACTCACTTTTGAACATTTTGAGAATGAAAATCAGATTTTCTCTCTCACTCAAGAGTCTCCAAAACCGTAGGGAATTTTCTCTCTAGGTTTCTAGCAAAGTTCTTCAACCTTTGCTTGGTTCCTCAAGCTTCCTTCACAAGCTTAGGAAGTGGCCGAACCTCCTTCAAGGACTTCTCCTCCATTGAAGCTTCTTCAAAGGAGAGTTCAGAGTTCTAAAGGGGTCTACCTCAAGAAGCATCACGGTCCTTGCATGGAAGCTTGGTTGAACATCAATCATTCACCAAGTGCTTCCATCAGCCGAACACAGGACTTGAAAAGCCCTAAAAAAACCCCAGCTATTGGGATGCAACTGGCAAGGAGCCGAGTTGACGAAATTCAAAAAATCACACTCGAATTGGGTGAAAGGAAGACAGACGCCTAAATCCCTAAAGAGACACTGATACACGTAAAAGTGGGGAGGATCAGAAGAACTCCCCATGTACACACGCTCACCGGCCTGACAGGGCTCAAGACGGATGGGCTTGGAAATGGAAGGGTCACAGATTCTATGCGATTTCCAAATCGCATTGATCTCCATGATTGACCTAATGACACTTTGGACCTCCCCGACATCACTCTCGAAAGAAAGAAGAAGAATGAGAAGGGAGACAACAGAAAGGAAGTACCTGGTACTCTTCCTCAGAAAATGACCTTAACGATAACTGGGTTACTAGAAACGATGACAAGGGAAGCAAACGGAGAGGAAGAAGGGTCGAATGACAACCGGCGTGCACAGGAAGCCAAGAAAGAAAGAGAATGAAAAAGAGTAAAGTGGATGGGAGGAGGCGCGAGAGAAAGAAAAGGCTTTCCCCAAAATTCAAACGGCCACATCACGTGTCAGCTAGGGAACATAACTGACGACACATTTAATAAGCCCCAATATGATGGGCACAGTCATCATTGCGTAACGATCATGTCCCATTAACGCCCCACCTGCACGTTTCCAAGAACTAGGCGACAGTTATGACACATGGCATCTTGACAGACAGGCGTGCGCAAAGGGTCACGACCCCTTGACGAGCTCGGTCTTAACTCCTCGACCCACGGTCTCCGGAGCTCGGGGGCTAGTATACTATCCGTACCGCTGTGCCGAGCTCCAGCTCAGCATCTCAGCGCGAAGTGACCTCGAACACGCGCTAGGCGACGTCAGCCCGATATCTAAATAGATCATAACCGATCTCAGGCCCAAGGCCCAAGAAAACCCTAATTCACACTAAGATACGTGCATTACTTATACGAGACTAACCCTCCCACAAACATTAACTTTAGCATCGGAGTCTTTTTTGCAGGTACCACCCCCATCTTGGAGCATCAAATGTACCAGCGAAAGAGACTTGCCGATCTTACCCAGTGGATCATCTCTACAACAGATCTCCAGTAAGAATAAGTAGTATGTTGCAATCCATTTCCCAACCCGTCAATGACCAAACATAGTTGGGTCAACATTTTCATAATCATGTCAACAACAAATAAATAAAGTTAGACATAAATTCATTGCTGTAACTAATTTAAAGAAAAATGTATTTATATAAAAATTAAAACATACTATTTCTAACTAAAGAAATTAAAAAAAAAATTATATAATGATGTTAAGAAGGCAATTAAACATTTTATTTATTTATTACGGGTTCTAAAGACTTGGGTTAGCTCTTGGGATTCAGTCTCTGAAGCCTCAAAGAGAAAATTTGGCCTTCTCTGTTTTCCATGGTCGCATCTTTGCACATCAGAAGAATCATCACATTCACACGAGGATTCCCCTTCTCTCATCACTCTTCTTCTCCCAAACATCAATCAACACAACCACTCCAAACTCTCACTAAACCCCAGCTGAAGACCCTCGTTCTCAACCACTACACCCATGGCCACTTCACCGACCTCATTCAAAACGTCGTCGCTTCACCCCCCGTCCTCTTCACCGCATGCCAAAACCTCGCCGCCGCCCCCTTTCGCCCCGCCTCCGTCTCGGACCGCTTCAGCGTGGAGGCCACCGCTCTGGAGCTCCGAGAGAACCGGTTTGACGCCGCCGCATGCTGCGTCACACTCACCAAAAGCGCCTCCTCATCTTTGGTTCTGCCCAATCTGAAGCTGAAGGTGGTGGTCGAGGCCATCCGGATGGTGTTGGAAGTCGTGTACGACGAACGCTTCGTCACGTTTTGCTACGGCGGCCGTGTTGGAATGGGACGACACACCGCCGTACGCTACTTGAAAAACTCCGTCCAGAACCCTACTTGGTGGTTCACCGTGCGCTTCAAGCCTCACAGGTTCGAACATTTCCATGTGGACAAGTTGTGTTCTTTTATTGAACGCAAGGTTAAAGATGTCGTTTTGATTGATTTGATAAAGACCTTGTTTCAATGTAAGGCTTTGGTCATTGAATTGGGTGGTGATTGGCTGGGAAGGGGTTTTCCTCAGGAATGTGGCTTGTGCTCCATTTTGCTGAATGTTTACTTTGATGGGTTTGATAAAGAGATTCAAGACATGCGGCTTCGGGAGGATCGAGAGAATCGGGTATTGGATCCAAAGATTTTGGATTCTGATTCTCATGTATTTTACAAGCCCGTGAAGGTGTATGCAGTGAGGTACTTGGATGAGATACTTGTTGTGACATCTGGGTCGAAGATGTTGGCTATGGAGTTGAGGACGGGAGTTGTGAAGAGTTTGGAACTTGGTTTGGGTTTGCGTGTTGATAAAGTGAATACTGCCATTCATAGCGCCGTGGCGGAGAAGATTGAGTTTCTTGGGATGGAATTGCAGGCTGTTCCGCCTTCGGTTTTGCGCCCGCCCATGTCGGAGAAAGCAATCAGGGCGCGGAAGAAGTACCTCAGGCAGAAGGCGGTTAGGGCTCTTGAATTGAGAAATGCTAGAGCAAGGAACAGAAGGAAATTGGGCTTGAAGATATTTAGTCATGTCTATAAAAAGATAAAGCAAAGTGAAGGATTTAAATTTGACTGTAGTATTGAAAAAGAGGTCCGAGAAATCTTTAGATCTTGGGCAGATGAAGTAGTACAAGAGTTCTTGGGGAGCATAGATGAGTGTCAAGAATGGCATCGAAGCCTATCAGCTGGTGATTTCCTTCAGTTGAGACACATTAGAAATCAGTTACCACCCGAGCTTGTTGATGCCTATGATAGGTTTCAAGAGCAGGTAGATAAACATTTGAATCCTATGAAAGCTAGGAAGGTAATAGAGGAAGAAGAAAGAAGAGTGAAGGAAGAAGAGGAACAAAATTATGCGAAAGGAACGGTTGAGGATTTGACAAGGCTATGTATGAAAGTTGAGGCACCAGAAATACTCATAAGAAAGGCTGTGAAGTTGGTTGGGTTTACAAATCATATGGGTCGTCCAAGGCCAATTGAATTTCTTGTTGCACTTGAGGATGCCCATATTATCGAGTGGTATGCTGGTATAGCAAGAAGGTGGCTTGATTTCTTCTGCTGTACCCACAACTTCAAGACAGTCAAAACTATTGTAACTTATCATTTGAGGTTCTCCTGTATCTTGACATTAGCAGAGAAGCATGAATCCACCAAGCGTGAAGTTATAAAGTATTTCAGCAAAGATTTGAAAGTCTATGATATAAATGGAAATCATGAAGTACATTTTCCTACAGAAAGAGAGGTTAAGATGATGGGAGATGGAAATCTTTCTGATCCAAAACCAGTAGATGGGGCTTTATCTTTGGCTGTTGTAAGGTTGGCATCCGATGAGCCTCCATCACATTGCATTGCCCATTTCTGTGACAAGACAACAACAGTCTTTTATCGGGTCCATTTGCTGCAAAACAGATTGAATGTGAACCCATTGCAGAAAGAAAAATGGGTGCAAGGGATGGGTGTAATTCATGAAAGCCTAAATCGTAAGTGCCTCCCTCTCTGTACTGATCATCTGAATGATTTGTACATGGGGAGAATCACACTTCAAGACATTGACTGTTCTTCTTGTGTTGATGTGGACTGACTTTTGTTGCTAACACATTTTTACTTTGCTTGGAACTATGAATCAACGATGAGAGTCCTTTATACTTCCTTGAATTTTGGAAAACGACAGCATGTTTATTGTTTGTCCTTTGTTATTCTTGTTCAATTTATTTATCCCCTTATCTGATTACATGGTCGGATTGACTTGAGTGTGAAATTGAGCTTTTAGACATAATGATGGTTTTTTTGGTTTTAGCTTTGTTTTTTGTGTTTTTAGCTTGTGCCTTTGTAGCAAGCAGTTCTTGTTGTGAAGAGAATTGGTTCGAGCATTTGTGTTTAGAGGAGGAGACGGGTCTGTCATAGGTGTTGCAGCTGGATTGGTGGAAGGAACTGTAATGATGGTTGGTGTATCTAAAGGTATGAGGGCTGGTGTAGGTTGGGTTCGATTTAAGGGGAACACTGAGGTTGGTGAATTGTTTGTCTCGTAGAGTTCTGAGGTGTACTTTTTTTGAAAAAACAATATTTTCAACTTGGCATGATTTTTTTGGGGTGAAATTTTGCAAGATTTATCTGGGTTAAGCACTTTACTGCCCATGTAATTTAATATTCTTGTGTACTCTCTAACGGCTTTTCAAGATTTATCCAATGGGCTGCTTATCCTGTTCCGAGTGATATGGGTCATTTTCGTGTTAGTAAATCATTATTAATCATTTATACCGTCAGTGTAAAGTTTTTTTACATTGGAAACCAATTATATCTCTTAATTATCTCATGTTACTATAAACACATTTACTTTTAACAGTGACATAACACAATTAAATGATATATACTGGCAGTATATAGGTGATTAACTCAATCATTATTGCGTCTACTTTCTACTTCTAGATTGCAACATGATAGCATTAAATATTAAATATTATTACCAAGAAAGCATATTAAGACTGATTTTGCTGTATGACTGCACCAGATTTCAAACCTGTATTTTGGGACACGAAAGCTCTATTAAAGAAATTGAATTCAACTGGGGAGTTTGGTGCTTGTTATTACAGTGATGAGTGCGTATGATTAAATATCATCAGACATGTAATGCCCTTCATCCTTCATCATCCATGATTAAATAACTGTCTATTCTTAATTTTACTTTCTAGGCTTGCTTCATTCTTTAACTTCTCTCTCTACTGGCTACCCTTTAACCTCAATTTTCTTGAGCTTCATTTCTTTTAATTTCTGATTAGTTGTCTTTTGATGCATCTCATACCCGTCTCCTGTCAACAAATGTAGCCTATTAGAAAGTTGGGCCTTTGTTAGCAGTAACACTAATTTATTGAGTGTGAAGCAATATCGGGAACACGTGTTGGTCCTAGCATTTCAAAAATTGGTTTTCAATCAGTTTCTGCGGCAAATTTTCTATATTATGAACTTATAATATTTTTCACTTATTTTCTTAAAAAATGGCCGATGCCGTCTTAGTCTATTTTTTATTTAATTTGATCATTTTATTATTAAAAAACTTTAACTTGATCTTCTCTTTAAAAAAAAATGCAATATTATCATTTTATTCTAACCTAAATTAACAATGTTAAATATTTATGCATATAACATGTGACACCATAAAAAAAGTGACACATATATCTACGCGTAGAAGAAACAAAGTTGAGTCAATAAAGGAAAAAGAAGATAAAGAAATTATTAGCAGTAAAATTTTTATCATATATAATTAAAATTTGAAATAAATATTATATTTGAATATATAAGTTATTTTTAAAATTTAAATAAATAAATATTTTAAATATATAATTTATATTTTATATTTATGATAAATAATTTATATTATAACATTATATTATTTTATTTATTGATAATTTATTTTAAAGATATTAAATTTAATTTATAAATAATTATAACATAAAAATCAAAGTAATTTATACATATTAAACACAAATTTTTATCTTACACGAGAGTATTTTTAGAAACTTTTTTTTTCGTAAAGAGGATTTGTAAGATTTTTTTTTAAACTTATCTAATTTAAAATTTATTTATCATTATTATTTATGAATATGATTTTAATATTTTAAAATAAATTATCAATAAATAAAAATAAGTCTCCAAAACCGTAGGGAATTTTCTCTCTAGGTTTCTAGCAAAGTTCTTCAACCTTTGCTTGGTTCCTCAAGCTTCCTTCACAAGCTTAGGAAGTGGCCGAACCTCCTTCAAGGACTTCTCCTCCATTGAAGCTTCTTCAAAGGAGATTTCAGAGTTCTAAAGGTGTCTACCTCAAGAAGCATCACGGTCCTTGCATGGAAGCTTGGTTGAACATCAATCATTCACCAAGTGCTTCCATCAGCCGAACACAGGACTTGAAAAGCCCTAAAAAAACCCCAGCTATTGGGATGCAACTGGCAAGGAGCCGAGTTGACGAAATTCAAAAAATCACACTCGAATTGGGTGAAAGGAAGACAGACGCCTAAATCCCTAAAGAGACACTGATACACGTAAAAGTGGGGAGGATCAGAAGAACTCCCCATGTACACACGCTCACCGGCCTGACAGGGCTCAAGACGGATGGGCTTGGAAATGGAAGGGTCACAGATTCTATGCGATTTCCAAATCGCATTGATCTCCATGATTGACCTAATGACACTTTGGACCTCCCCGACATCACTCTCGAAAGAAAGAAGAAGAATGAGAAGGGAGACAACAGAAAGGAAGTACCTGGTACTCTTCCTCAGAAAATGACCTTAACGATAACTGGGTTACTAGAAACGATGACAAGGGAAGCAAACGGAGAGGAAGAAGGGTCGAATGACAACCGGCGTGCACAGGAAGCCAAGAAAGAAAGAGAATGAAAAAGAGTAAAGTGGATGGGAGGAGGCGCGAGAGAAAGAAAAGGCTTTCCCCAAAATTCAAACGGCCACATCACGTGTCAGCTAGGGAACATAACTGACGACACATTTAATAAGCCCCAATATGATGGGCACAGTCATCATTGCGTAACGATCATGTCCCATTAACGCCCCACCTGCACGTTTCCAAGAACTAGGCGACAGTTATGACACATGGCATCTTGACAGACAGGCGTGCGCAAAGGGTCACGACCCCTTGACGAGCTCGGTCTTAACTCCTCGACCCACGGTCTCCGGAGCTCGGGGGCTAGTATACTATCCGTACCGCTGTGCCGAGCTCCAGCTCAGCATCTCAGCGCGAAGTGACCTCGAACACGCGCTAGGCGACGTCAGCCCGATATCTAAATAGATCATAACCGATCTCAGGCCCAAGGCCCAAGAAAACCCTAATTCACACTAAGATACGTGCATTACTTATACGAGACTAATACTCCCACAAACATTAACTTTAGCATCGGAGTCTTTTTTGCAGGTACCACCCCCATCTTGGAGCATCAAATGTACCAGCGAAAGAGACTTGCCGATCTTACCCAGTGGATCATCTCTACAACAGATCTCCAGTAAGAATAAGTAGTATGTTGCAATCCATTTCCCAACCCGTCAATGACCAAACATAGTTGGGTCAACATTTTCATAATCATGTCAACAACAAATAAATAAAGTTAGACATAAATTCATTGCTGTAACTAATTTAAAGAAAAATGTATTTATATAAAAATTAAAACATACTATTTCTAACTAAAGAAATTAAAAAAAAAATTATATAATGATGTTAAGAAGGCAATTAAACATTTTATTTATTTATTACGGGTTCTAAAGACTTGGGTTAGCTCTTGGGATTCAGTCTCTGAAGCCTCAAAGAGAAAATTTGGCCTTCTCTGTTTTCCATGGTCGCATCTTTGCACATCAGAAGAATCATCACATTCACACGAGGATTCCCCTTCTCTCATCACTCTTCTTCTCCCAAACATCAATCAACACAACCACTCCAAACTCTCACTAAACCCCAGCTGAAGACCCTCGTTCTCAACCACTACACCCATGGCCACTTCACCGACCTCATTCAAAACGTCGTCGCTTCACCCCCCGTCCTCTTCACCGCATGCCAAAACCTCGCCGCCGCCCCCTTTCGCCCCGCCTCCGTCTCGGACCGCTTCAGCGTGGAGGCCACCGCTCTGGAGCTCCGAGAGAACCGGTTTGACGCCGCCGCATGCTGCGTCACACTCACCAAAAGCGCCTCCTCATCTTTGGTTCTGCCCAATCTGAAGCTGAAGGTGGTGGTCGAGGCCATCCGGATGGTGTTGGAAGTCGTGTACGACGAACGCTTCGTCACGTTTTGCTACGGCGGCCGTGTTGGAATGGGACGACACACCGCCGTACGCTACTTGAAAAACTCCGTCCAGAACCCTACTTGGTGGTTCACCGTGCGCTTCAAGCCTCACAGGTTCGAACATTTCCATGTGGACAAGTTGTGTTCTTTTATTGAACGCAAGGTTAAAGATGTCGTTTTGATTGATTTGATAAAGACCTTGTTTCAATGTAAGGCTTTGGTCATTGAATTGGGTGGTGATTGGCTGGGAAGGGGTTTTCCTCAGGAATGTGGCTTGTGCTCCATTTTGCTGAATGTTTACTTTGATGGGTTTGATAAAGAGATTCAAGACATGCGGCTTCGGGAGGATCGAGAGAATCGGGTATTGGATCCAAAGATTTTGGATTCTGATTCTCATGTATTTTACAAGCCCGTGAAGGTGTATGCAGTGAGGTACTTGGATGAGATACTTGTTGTGACATCTGGGTCGAAGATGTTGGCTATGGAGTTGAGGACGGGAGTTGTGAAGAGTTTGGAACTTGGTTTGGGTTTGCGTGTTGATAAAGTGAATACTGCCATTCATAGCGCCGTGGCGGAGAAGATTGAGTTTCTTGGGATGGAGTTGCAGGCTGTTCCGCCTTCGGTTTTGCGCCCGCCCATGCCGGAGAAAGCAATCAGGGCGCGGAAGAAGTACCTCAGGCAGAAGGCAGTTAGGGCTCTTGAATTGAGAAATGCTAGAGCAAGGAACAGAAGGAAATTGGGCTTGAAGATATTTAGTCATGTCTATAAAAAGATAAAGCAAAGTGAAGGATTTAAATTTGACTGTAGTATTGAAAAAGAGGTCCGAGAAATCTTTAGATCTTGGGCAGATGAAGTAGTACAAGAGTTCTTGGGGAGCATAGATGAGTGTCAAGAATGGCATCGAAGCCTATCAGCTGGTGATTTCCTTCAGTTGAGACACATTAGAAATCAGTTACCACCCGAGCTTGTTGATGCCTATGATAGGTTTCAAGAGCAGGT